CCGATTAAAGACCCATCCATGAGAGCCCACATTCACATTCCCAGAGCGATTTGGGTACCCAAAGGGGGAATTGAGTCATTTCTAATTATCGTTTGGGTGTAGTTATGTGCACAGAAACTGATTGCACTCTGTCTCTGGCATAGAAGCAAACTACAGCAGCAGCTCTCATGTAAATCCACAGTGACTAATATATTTTCTTTAAGAGCCTATTCGGAAAGCACAAAGCACCCTGCTCACACTCATTTAGCGTAAGTTTCGGTATAAGTTCTAGTTCTAGTTAAGTTCTTCTGTTTAATCTCATCCTTACATGTGATCGATATGGAGAGCGTTGAGTCTGTGGCTTAACTTGAATCGATGCCGTGCAACCGCTTCCGAATATTGCATTTCAAATATCAATTACAATTCCAGGCCAGAAGGCACTATTTTCGAATTCCAACTTCGATGCCATTTCGTGACCCAATTTTCATAGAAATTGCTCCACTTATTGACCATTGTGCGATCCCCGGACTTTGTGTGTGTATGTGTGAGTGCTTATGCTTTGTGTGTGTGGCTGTGTGTGTGTCTGTGTCGAGTGCAAGTTTTGGTCGACGTCGTCTTCATTGTTGCTGTCCTCGTCCTTGGCATCGTCACAAAAGTTTCTCCTCTATGTGCCTGCTGGCGGCATGTGTTCAAGAGTTAAGTTGTGTCGAGTGTGACAAGACGGGGTTGGGGCTGAAAAAAGGGGCCACAGGTCCGGCTCCAGCTCCATCTCCAGCTCCAGCTCCGAGTGTGTACTGGGGTGTTCTTTGTGTGCTGACTGCACGAATTTAAAGCTGCCACACACTCTGCCAAACTGCTTTTTGACTTTTTGTAAGAGGCAAGCACCCAGCCAGCCAGCCACCCAACCAGCCACCCAACCAGCCAGCCAGTCAGCTAGCCAGCTGATTACTTTGGCATTTGTTTGGGCACATTGCGGTCCTCCGGCCCTCCGGCTCCATGGAAGGATCAGACACAAGGACGCAGCTCGAATCGCGTTATGCTTTATTTATTGGCCGACTAGGATGTCATAAAAGTCATACCAAAAAGTAACCTTTTTGGGGAAGCCCCAATAAGAGGCGACGGCGACGGCAACGGCGACACATTAGCCGTCGCGTCTCTGGCACTGACTCCGAGACAGCGACAATGACATCGCAAAGTGCCCTGTCATAATGATAATAGCAACAAAAAAACGAGGCAGAGTCGACCAGAGCACCAGAGTAGCAGCAACAACGATAACAATTAAGCTATATCAAATTGAAAAAGTTACTTTTTCTCACACAACCTGTCATTGCCTCGGGGCGAGTCGCGCGGCTGGCTATAAGGCAGCCTGCCGAAGGGTGGAGCTGGGGCTCAAATGATGATTAAGCAAAATGCGTTTTGATACGACTATTATAGATCAAAGATATGTGTACACTGTGTACCCATAAGCAGTATACATATATGTACGTTTATGCGAACAATGGTTCTGCTTGTAGACCAGTTTTATGGCCTGGCAAACAGTAAATCAACGCTAATTAAATAAAAATTGCTTTCGCGGCATGGGCGTTGCCGAAAAGGGGCATGAATGGTGAAAGAAAAGAGGTGGGACTGAGGTAATTGACTCGCTCTATAGAAAAATAAGTCACCTACTCATTAAGTGTCACAATGCTGTCGGACAAATGTCACAGGCAACTTTTTGTTTTGTGCCGCTAGAGAAACAACAGAAGTTGAGAGGCCCCCTCCTTTGCTGCGGAATATTCCTTCTTGGTTCTCGTTGCTTCTGATATAAATGCACTTTTAATAAAGCTCTTCAATGTGCATGCAACGTTTATGCGAAATAGTTAATTGAATTTTGTGCGTGTGTCTGCCGAGCATTGGGGTGCCAGGCAACGAAGGCAAATATAATTATAATTGTTAATTCAATTGCACAATATATGAATTAATTTAAAGCAAACTTCGGAAGACGCTAAGAAGCTTCGCAGTTGGCTTCGAAGTGCAACGGAAGTGCGATTAATTAAGCTTAGAGAAGTGTTGCTGGAGGGACTCTAGAACAGATTTTAGTGGTTTGCAAGTCAATGCTAATGATGTTAGCGAGTGATGTGATGCTTAAATTATATTATTCCAATGCGAGTAGAACCCAAACCAAATCTAATTATCAGTTGGGATTTAAAGAGAAATATTTAATTTTGCTATGAATGAAATATTTAGCATTAGCATAAAATAGTCTACGAAAACTTAAAATACGCCAAATATTGTCAGTTTCATGGTTACATAAAAAGTATGTAGGCATTAAATTTCGAAGCCATTGCTGAATGCGTTCCATTGGTTAAAGAATTCTTTTGGTATTCATTCATTAACTAGTGGAGTGTTCTTTGCTTTCATGTTAAAGAGTTTCGCCTGCGTAACTTTATTCAAAGATTTCCCCCAGCACTCAGAGAATGCCCCAACAGCCCGATGACTTAATCATAAGTGGGAGGAGGCAGGGCCTCTCTCGCAGCGATTGCTGGTCTGCAGAGGCTGCTTTCTTGACCAGTTGTCTGCTGGCTTGGTTGGGTTCTGGCTTTTCCCATTACCCTTTTATCATTAGTTTCTGTTTGAGTTGAGCTCTTGTGCAGCGGCAGGGCATTTAATTAACTCAACTCAAACTTTGCATTTGACTTGCGTAAATTAATACATTGGCTATGTTATTGGCCTCCTGTTGAACTTGGGGGACCGCAACTATGCTTGGCCCCCTGTCCGCGTCCTCGTCCTCGTCCTCCACTTGGTATCACTCGCAGGGCATCTTGGGGAAACTTCACTTACTGCCTGCCGAACCCTTATCAACTTTTGCGCTGCCACTGCGCTCAGCTAACTTTGCTTATAAATTTCATTCGAGTCATTTGTTGACACTCACACAGATACACACACACACCCACACAAACACATACACTCCAACTAACACAAATGCACACAATAGCAAAGTCGCAAGTCGCGATTCTCTCGCGAAAAGTTGTTGAAGTTATCTGGGCGACGCAATTTCTTGTTCTTGTTCTGTTCCTTTGTCTGTTGTCTTGCCTTTGTATTTGTAAGTTTTGCTCGAATGTGCAAATAGAATTAAAATGCTGCGGAACTAACCCAATTCTGATTTCTCATTGCGGGGGGTTTTTCGTTCCATGTGATTGCCAGCGGCGGCACACTCAGGGTATATTGAATCTTATTCAATGCTGAAATATTCTTTAATATTTCGATAGAGTTTATTTTGCCGATAAAATGCAACCTTGTGGAATAAGTAATGCCTGTGGCCAAAACGACACCTTGGTAAATGTGCATAAATATCTACATACAACATATACATTGATACATTTACCGAAATTACCTTCAGAGTCACCGGAACATCAATCGTTTTTCTATTTGTTTTAAGTTTGTGCATACCTTTAACTCTATAAGCGGTTTACTCCCTTGATCTTAGCTTCAGGGTACATCCATATGTACATAATTTTTCATAATACTCTTAATCAGCTTACTGGGCATACATAAGTCGAGCAACAGTTTTCCTTTGATACACTTTTTACTTTACCCTTTGGCTTTGCACTTGTTAATCGGGGATAAAGAACTCGACGACACCCACCGCAGCGCCGTGACTTTTCTTTATGACAAATATATTCATTTCATACTTGTTCATGGGCAACAAATCGCGTGACACGCTGACAGCGGTACTTGCCTTTGGCTCTGCCTCTGCCTCTACTGTTGTTGCCGTTGCGCTGACATAGCGTCGAGTGGAGTGTAGAGCGTTAACTCAACTATTGTCTTCATTTTTCTTGCAAATCATGCAAGGCAATCTAAAATGTTGACACATTGGCAAACAGCACAAACAAGCGCAGAGCACACACGTCGACATGGGCACATCGACACATGCCCCGCACCGGCCCGAACCGCACAGGTCTGTGGCCATGGTGGGAGAAAGCTGCTCAAAAAAAAAAAAAAGCATCCGGAGCCTTCGCCTTTGCCCCTGTCACTCACTCAAGTTCAAGGTTCACACGCTCTCGGTTAAGGTTGCGCGCTGGTATTATCGCTGAATTGTCACAAGTCTGCGCTTTGTCTCGCAACGAGCGCTTTGAAAAATTACAATAATTGTTATTTACGCATATCTGAACATGAAATGTGTCAATTGGCAGCCGACGAGCAGGCAACCAGGCAGGCAAGCAGGCGATGGGAGCCAAAGAAAGAAATAACGTGGCGTATGCGTAATGTGTGAAAAGGGACACAAGGTCTGTCTGTCACTCAGTCAGTCAGTCAGTCATTCAGTCAACTGCGTGTATTGCTCTATACATGGTTGGACTTGAGTGTGCTTGATACAAATGTCATGCCCTAATAATTCGGTTCATGAAACGATTTAATAATTGAGGAATGAAAGTCACCAGTCCAAGTTCAGATTGGAAATGACGAGTTCTATCGCACTAAAATCATTAAAAGACTTAAGGAAAACTAGAGTTGTTTAATTATTTCCTTTTATAAGGGTTTTTATTTTGTTTTTTACTTAGTGCTTAGTTTCTTATACAAGTTCATTTATATATTTATTTTTAATTTGCATATTAGGGTCTCCCATAGTCGTATATGTCACTCGCCCACATCGACTCTAAACTGCTGTCATTGTTGTTGCCCACATTGATTGCCTCCCTCCCGTCTAATGCGACTCATTTGTTAGCTCATTTTTTGCCTCACGCCCTTTGCAACTTTATTGGTTTGCTTTTTGGCTTTTTGGGTGCGTGTATGTTTGCTTGTGTTGTTTTTTGTATTAAACAATTTGCATTGGCCACAATTAGCGGAGTTTAAAACAAGCGCAAATGGTGTTGGCATTAAATTCAATCCACATTTTCATATTCGGGGGTATAAATATGAAATATCATCGACCCTTTGACTGGCAGTTGTGGGGAAAACACAGACGCGGCTTGTCGATTGAATTAAATATAAATATCATATCTCGTTGGTGAATTAAATATTGAAAAATGCGTGCCACATATACAATGCCGCTGGCGTTGGCTGTGCTGCTGCTGCTGCTGCTGGGGGGCACGCACTTGACTGGAGCGGCGGCTGTCAGCGTTGGCACAGATGTTGACAAGGAAGTGGCACCAGTTGGCGATGTAACAACGGATCTGCTGTCATTGGAGCCGGAAATTGGCGGCTCTGCGGTGCGGCGGAAAGAGCAGGAGCAGCAGCAGCAGCAACGAGGTGGCCGTCGAGCGCGTGGCATCTTCTTCAGCGGCGGCTTCCAGGGCTATCCCTTTGGCGGCTGGGCCTGGGGCAGTGGCTATGGCAATGGCTATGGCTATGGCAATGGCTATGGCTGGTCCTTTCCCGGCTCTTATGGCCCTGCACCCACGTACTATGGCTATTATCCGGGCTACCTGGGCTATCAGAAAATTATAATCGGCTAATGCGCCGCTCAACCGCCGACAAACATGAAATTCATTCAATGTGAGATTATAAATAATGTGCATCGCGGCCCGACGACCCTTTTTGCAGTTTGTTGTTTGGCTTATTGTGTACTTGTGGAAATTGCTCTTATTGTTGCTGATGTTGCTGTTGCTGTAACTGTGGTTGTGGCTGCTGCGAGATACTTTTAAATTAATTTGCTGGACATAAAAAAGTTGCGTCAAGTTTGGGTCGAAAGAAAAACATGAAATTGCACAATTTATATTCATTTTGCTGTTGTTTTGTTGTTGGGTTGTTGGGGCACAGATTTTGCATAAATCATTTCACAGCCACCAAAAATGAAACGCGTAACATAATTTTTAACCCTTGATAATTTTTTATGACAAGCATTTTCGTTCCCCCCACCCTCACTCCCACTCCCACTTTTCGTCCACTCGGTCGCTTGCCACCGCTGCCGTTGGGTCCAAAGTGAAATGCAAATAAAGCGGATCAAAAGTTTGCTGTTAAAAGAAGATTAATTGCAATTTGGTGGCAAGACCTGAAACATTGCGGCCCACCATTCATTTCAGGCGGTGGCTTGGGCTGGCGCTGAGGCTGGGGCTGAGGGTTGGTAATTAAATATTTTTAAGCTGTAAATGGTTTCCATTTGCTTGCTGTTGTTCCTGTTTCGCCCTGGCAATCAATAAAATTCATTAAGCGGACTACCCGCAACAAAATCTCCCACAATCGAAACATTTGGCCCTAGTCTTAGTTTCAATTGCCATCCAGCAGTTGAAAATTGTTGTTCTACGAGAGTCGCTGGTCGCTGGTCACGGGTCACGGGCCCTGCAGTTATTGCAGTTTTTTTTTTTCAAGTGCTGATTGTTTATTCATTTTTATAATCATTTTATTGCTGAGGCATGTTGATTTTTTAATCACATTACATAATTTATGTGTTTCCTTTTTCGTTTTTTTTTTGTATCATCCATTCTGTCGGATCGATTATGGATGGATGTATTCGCTTTGTGAATGGCTGAGTGGAGTAAAACCATCACAATGATTCAAATATTCCGCTGTAATATCAAAATAATCCGCTGACAAACTATAATGTCCGCTGAAATATTTACAATTTAATACTTGCTCTGATTGCGGGGCAGCTTTTAAGTCCATCAATACCCTCTTCCAGTGACGTTATACATTTTTTTTTTTGTTCATTGGAAAAAACTATCAAGTATCATGCATGTACATATGTATGTCAAGCTCTTAAATGGCTTTTAAATTAAGCTCTTCAGGGCGAAAAATAATTTGAATTTCTACAGGCATACATATGATTAGGTATTTTACTAATTAGTGGCTCTTGGTGGGTTCAGTTGGGCGCTTCTCCCCTCCCACCCCGCACACCGCGATGGCACACCACTCTGAACTTTCTCGTACACACCTGTAATTAATAGTTTCAAGCAAACCATTTCACCGAGAGGGAAGAGCCAATGGGCCAGTTCCACTGCCAGTGCCATTGCCAGTCCTTTTGGCAGTTCTTCCCCGTGCCGCACCAAATTGGGGGTATACGAAATTTTAATAGAGCTGTCAGTCGTGCCACTTTTCCAGGTGGGCGGGCCGACGTCCGTCCACCAACGCATCGGACAGCCGGGAGCGGCCTTTTTCCTACCGCCTACTCCGGGCCTTTGTGCCCATTGTTGCTATTCATAATTGAAACGAGGTCAAAACCAGCGAACCTCATTAAAAATTGAATTGTTTAATTTTCATTTGATTTAATTAAGTTATTTGTTGGTCAATTAACCTTTTTTCCTCTTTGCCGTTGTTACTGATGTTGTCTGACATATCAATGGGATGTACATATACTCGTATGTATGTATATATACACACACACACACCCATACAAGTTACACAAAGTAGATATATATACTTGTTTGTACTGGACATAATATTGTTATTACAGTGATGATTGTTTCTACAAAGGAACAGGCGGGAGGGAGTGCAATGCCTACTTGCAATTATGCGCCATGCTGGCGTCAACGCGTTGAAAATTTATTAATTAAAATACTTTTCAATTAAAGTTAATGCGCTCAGCATTTATGTAATGCCATGTGTAAATACGCTGTAAACTTTTGAACCAACATATTATGAACACTTTGTACTCTGCCAATTAAACCGTTTTATAATGGCAAGCCGCACACCCATGCGGAGCACGTGGCCGGCTTAAAGCGGAGGCTTTCCACACCACTCAGTAACCAATCCAGTGTCAAGGGCCTGAGCGGTTCCGTTCCTTCAGCGCTTTTGTTATAGCCTTACTTATTTTTACTTAGCACTTAGTGAGCGGCTTAAGCGGCAACTCCATTTCAGCGCACCAGTCAGAGCTCGCTCGCTTGAGTCTCCTCAGAGTCTTTCCCATTATGCACAAATGCACTTGGAACGGCTGAGCTCTAAGCTGCTCGCAGAGCGTTAAACAATATTCGTGATTATGGAAACTTCTGCAGCGTTCGCCATCGAACAGGGCTCGTTTTAAATTAGGAAATGCAAGTATTCGCGAGACTATAATTCTAATCTGTCTGCCTTTGTTGCATGCCTGTCCTTTGATGTAAAATATATGTACGTAAGCTCAGGAATATCTATTAATTATGTGTATACATTTTTCTTCTGCTTGTGAGTGCAGTAGTCCCTCTTGGTTTGTGGTATCATTTTTAAATATATTCATTTTTTTCTTATGATAATTGAAAGCATAATATTATTTAATTTTAAAGACGCATTGGAACTATCGGCCTTGCCTCCATTTGGTATAAAGCACCAAAGCTTTGAATGGTGGCTGGGGGATTGAAAACCATTGTGCTATTACTTAGCTTCGTTTGTGGATGATTGCTAAGCTTTGGGGCAATCGGATTTCGCCCACAGATTGGACAGGCTGAAATTCGTGTATGAATTGTATTTCATTGTTCCATCAATCCTGTTACCTTTCCAGCAAAACTGACTCGCTCTGCTGCCTATGCAGGAATGCAATTCCAGTATGAATTGCACTTCATTGTTCTATGAATCCGCTTACCTTTCTAGTACATTACGAGCACTCCTCCCCGAGCGAGCTGACTGGCTGACTGGCTGACTGGCCATGGAACAAGTCTATTAAGCGAGAGCATTCGGTCGTCTCAAATAATCCAGAGGCAGGCAGACCACAAGTCCGATCCAGCCAACAGCTTTAGGCACTGACCATATATACATGCGAGCATACCCCCCTCCCTATACATAGATATGTAGATACTTAAGTGCGAGCATGGGTGTGGGGATGTATGAGGATATGTACATATATTTTGGCAAAGCATCGAGTCGTTGCCGCAAAGGCCAACTGAAATGAAGTGTCATTGTGATAGAGCCCCGGCAATGCAGTTGTAGCTCTGCAAGTTGCAGCGGCAGAACTCGAAGGACTCGCGCAGGACCCAAGCGACACATTTACACGCACTGCTGGCCCTGCCACTGCCACTGCCATTGCCACCGCTGCAGCTAGCGCTGCCTCACGTACTCGGCATTGTGACAAATGGATTTTCGCATGAAATCCCCAGGATTTCTTCAAGTGTAATTGCGCACGCTAAAAGCGAATGCGAATGGCCGCCGCATTGCATCCGCATGGGGATCCGCATCTGCAAAGTCCCCACACACCTAAAAAAAAAAGTGCGGATTCGAGTCCACAAAACCAGCATTAAATTTCGTGCACTTGCTGCTCACTCGAAGGTTTATTGCTTTTCTTGGATAATTTGTTGGCTGCCAGGGCCGGGCCTGCAGAAGGCCCACAGAATATATCTGCGAGCGATATTGCGGATCAAGTGAGCCACATATAGCGGGCTCGAAGCATCCAGCTTGCACCGAGCTGGTACGCACAAAAGGAGTCCCACGCTGGCCGTCTTGGATCATCAGTCGTATGAGAAGCAGCAAAGTAGCTTCGAAATCAACACTGATTGATGGTGCTACCGTACTCCAAGCGAAACAGTTGTTCAAAAAATAGCTACAAAAATATAATCAAAAATAAAACGTACTGCGTCTGCCTCTAGTTTCATGTAAATATAAAGCTAAAGCTAAGCGATTTCTATTCTCGATTTTTTCCGCTTAGCTTTGTCAAATTTGTCGAAAGCCACTTGTAAAGGTATTGACGATGTCTCTAGTTCTGAGAACTCTCCGAGACAGTGGTCCGGTGGAGAGGGGGGCCATCGTAAAAGTATAAAAAGTTTATATTGCCAACACTAGCAGCAACCAGGGGCGACATTACTGAAAGCCGAGAGCCAGAGCCAGGGCACCGGCCACCCCCACAAATCACGCCCAGGCTATTTGCAGTGAATTGAAATTGATCAATTTGGGTAGTTAGGGGAATTGTTTGGCTTTATGTGCGCGCTGGCAGCTTTAATGGATGAATTCGCTTATGCCATCGGGACTGCTGAAATGGGTAAATTGAGGTTTCCACTCTGGGATCTGCGAAGTGGGATGTGGGACCTCGGTGGAGCGATAGGAAGCGGAGTGCTCTGCAGTGCCCTCACATCAAATTAACGTGTGCCCGGGGGGACGTGCTTCTATTGGAGAATCAAGCGCATAATTCCGAAAAGTTCTTGCCGATTTGACAGATGAAATTATGGAAAAATCAATTGTATTGTGGTACTTGCTTACCATCAACACCAGAGCTGCACACTACACCAATTAAGCCACTGCTATCGGCAGTTTACATACCTGATGAACGATACTGGCTACTGGATCCGCCCGTTAACGGCATTTATCTTTGCAGTTGGATGCATTTAAGCCGCCCGAACTGCAGACCAGCTGACAATGAGTCACACAGCAAGCAGCTTACTGCATGGCTGGCCAAACAGCTCAGCGCCATTTTTCCTCTTTCCATTGTACGGACCGGACCGGCCGGGCTCTCCTCCATGCCCCAACAGTTGCTCTGTTTCGCTTAGGTCTTGGCCATTTTTAAATCTCTGCATCTCAATTTCGCCCACAGAGTGCCATTCGCCTTGTCTTTGTGCTCATCTGT